TTATCTTATTTATATAGCCACCCATCTCACACAAGGTGACTCTGGGTGACATACAACAATTAAAAAAATAAATACATAAAAACAGTTACACATAAAAAACTGTAAAAACCCATAAAATAGGAGGGGATAAAATTAATAAGGGAGCCATCGTAAAATCTCCCCGATCCCCTGGGAGCCCCAGGCCTGATCACATAGCCAGGTCTTAAGGGATTTGCGGAATGTTGAGAGGGATGGAGCTAATCTCCCTTCAGATTTATCATATCAGGTTAGTTTTCTGCCTACTCAAGAATGGATGGTCAGCATCTTAGCAGTGGGGAAAGACCTTTAAGGTGTAGATAGGATGGTGTTGGAGAAGTCCTACAGATGTGCAGCACTACAGGTCCACAGTCAAAAAGATGCTCTGGAGCAGGGTTGGGCTGCCAGCACCTCCTTTAAAAAGCTGTGTCTCCTCCTGGGCTTGTGTGATAGCCACTGTAGCTACTTTATACCAGGAAATACAATTTGAATTAAGGAAGCCCAACAGTATAGCCATATCTGATCCAAAGCACCTTGTCACATCCTCTTGATGCCTCCTTAATTTGTTTTATTTTATTATTTATTTTATTAATCAAAGTTATACACCACCCATCTCACTATGTAAGTGATTATAGGCAGCTTACAAATAAAAGGTGATAAAAAATAATAAAAATCTTTACAAAAATAAATAAAAGCTAAAAGATGGAGAGAGCGTCCTCAAGCCACCAACCACCCCCAGTGCTGCGAATCCCCACTGGTTCCCCATGCTAGTTCGCAGAGCCAGGTCTTAACACTCTTCCAGAAGGCCCAAAGAAAGGGAGCCAATCTCACCTCAGGGGTCAAGATGTTCCACGGGGAGGGGGCGATGGCAGAAAAGGCTCTCCTCCTAGACCCCGCCAGTTGAAATTCTCTAGCTGACGGGGTCCGTAAGATGCCCTTCCTGCCTATTAAATCATTTGCTTGGATAGATGAACTGGATATTCTTGCTATATAATTACACAGAGGTACCTGAAGTTTTAGTTCAAAATGTGATTAGTACATTGATCCTAGGAATACTCAAATCCATACCTCCACAGATTGTGACTGACAATTTATTCACTTAAACTAATATATTTCACTTAAATATTCCTAATAAGGACTACAATAAATGATTTATAGAAAAACGTGTGCAGGGTGCAAGGATTATGAACATGGCCCTATCCTCTTTACCCCCCTCCCCTACAGTCTACACTTTCATTCTAAATCACTCTTTACTGAAGAATGTCTAAATGAGAGCTCGAATTTGTGTTTGCTTGTATGTGAGTTCAGGCTCACATTCAAATTTGAAGAAAACAATGAAATGAGATACCAGATTTCACTCATGTTTAAGGAATCCTGAAGCAGCCACAAAATTACACTTGTTTTCCTCAGCATTATCATACACAAAAACTACTGTTTCTCCCAAATTAGATGAAAGCAACTTTGTAAGAATAAGAAAATTGAGCGTTCCAGTAAATGAGAAAAAAAAACCTCTATTAGCTAAAGCAGTACTCCTTTATCACATACTAAAATGTAGCTAACAACTAAATACCATTACAGTACCATACATCATAAAGTGCAGAGAGGAATCACAATCTCCAACTCATCATAGGAGTAACATTCAGTATGAGTTTAACTGCATCTTTCCAATATTAAATACTTTGCCTAAATGCAGGTTGGATTAGCACATACATATTTATAGTTTGAGTTGAATCCAGTGATAGCATTCCATCAGCAGATGTTGTTTTGTCAGTGGGACTGATTCTTAATAAACTTCTATCATCTTGAACAGTTCCTACATTTGCTCCTGGAGTACGAATCCTCAGAGCAAATTAGAAAGATACAAAAAGGTGATATGAGAAGAAAACAGTGCATGAACTGAAGTGCACTCACTTAATTTGAATGTAAACATCTATACCTACATTGAGAGCGTAATAATATTTTGTATACAATATATATAATGTATATATTAAGATATATGCCAATGTATATACTTAAAAGAATGTACATTTTTATGAAATTGTTTAATCTATTTAAATTGTATGATTTGAAAGTGAAAGGCTGTATGATTTTATTTTTCAATTATTAATGTTCAAGTCATATAGTTTAGCAGAACTGCTCAATGTAAGTTGTTGCTGTTTTTTTCACTTTTGATTGTGTTCCATATTAACTGAAAGATGGAATTACTCACACTAATGAAAGCACAAATGCTTCTTATCTACTCCTTTTGCAGATGCTGTTAAACATCTTTTGTACCTTGCCTAGTAATAAAATGCCATTTTATGGTGTTTGCTTTATCTGTTGAGGTAAGATAACAGAAGAACTATTGTCCAGGAAATTTTTCATTTAATCTGGCACCTAGCATAAGGTGCAAATCCCCACCTTTACATATCTTAAACCTGCTGCTCCTAAGTCATAGTTATACTTATAAAGCACTCCAGTGCACAGGGAGATATTAATGCAAGAAAAATCTGCTTGCAATCAAAACAGTGTTACTGTTACATGATTCAGAAAAATAATTTCTTAATAATTCTAGATATTGAAAGCTTTGAAAATTAAATATATCATATGGATTTCAAATATTTCGTAGCTTAAACCCGTATTACTGTAGGTTCTGAAGAAACCAAATATTCTAAAATGTATTTAAATAGCATTTCAAGGAGGATGAAATATTAAAGTAATATTAAATTAGAAATACTAACAAAGTATGTGATTCTAATATGAGATAACACAATCTGAACCCATTTCAAACTAGTTTCTGAACTAGATTAGCAAAATAACTTATCTGTGAATTCTAAAAAACTACTTATGCCGGAAAAGAGTGAGCCTGTGACTTCTTAACAGCCTTCCAGCTACTGACTGTAGTTTCCTTTTCAACAGGCTTTGCAGGGTAAGTACAGGTAGTCCTTGCTTAACGACCCTACTTGGGACCGGCAACTCCACCACTTAGCAAAGCAGTCACTGAGTGGGAAATCACATGACTGCAACCATGCTTTCCAGCTGGAAAGAGACAATACTAGTCAGTTTCACACTTTTTGCTTCTGTTTGCTTCCTAACCACTCCCCTGCCCTTTGGAATGCTCCAGTGCCTGCTTACTGTCTTGTACATATTGAAAGGACAGCCCCCGGGGCTGGGAGCCACAGGCACACTATACAAATAGTTACTCTCTTGAAATCCCTGGGTCTCCAATCTCTCTGTTCTGCGAGGGTGGGAGGGAAAAAACCAAGTAATTTCTGTAAGCAATCTCTCCTTTGCCTGACCCTTTCCTGCTGCCAGCGCGATCACATTGCTTTTGATGTCTAGAAGAGCAAACAGCTTACTCTCTTAAAATCCCTCTCCAATCTCTCTGCTCTGCAAGGTCGGGGGAAAGGGTCAGGCAAAGAACACGTTTGCACAGCATGCCCATGGCTGCTGGTGCAATTGCATTGCTTTCAATGTGTAGAAGAGCAAACAGCTTACTTTCTTGCAATCCCCCTCTCAATCTCTCTACTCTGCAAGGGGTGAAAGAAAGAAAAAAAACTACAGATCAGGCACCGGACAATGTGTACTGACTATAGCAGCAATCTTGTGACTGAGGGACACTGCAAAGTTCATAAATGGTCATAAATTTTTTCAGCACTGTTGTAACTTCAAACAGTTGCTGAACGAATGATCAGTAAGCGAGGACTACCCTTATT